AAAATTGATTATGTGCAATAGAACTTTTGAAAAGTGGACTATTTAAAAAAACTAAACTAAAGCGATAAAACTTAAATGTTTTGAAAAATGTGGATTTAAATAATAAATTATGGAATTTTTAACGTTATTTGTAGTTTGATTTCATACAAATGACTAGATTCCACGAAGTAAAGGTTTCAACAATAAAAAATATAGGTTAGCTTACCTGTCAGTAATTTCTTCATTTTCATCGCTTACATTTTCTGATGATGGGAAGTAAGAATCACCAGAGTCCTCTAATTCGGCATCTTCACTTAATACTTCAGTAATAAGTCGTCCCAACTCATTTAGTTCCGTCATTGTTATAAACAATAACATACATAACCTCAATACTAGACAGTGAACATGAACAGCTGTTGCAGTTGGAACATTGTCAAACGAATACATGCAAATTTTAATTATTTGTTGAGTGACAAGGTTTCATGTGTCACCTGAAACCATGTCATTCTAGTTTTGTTTTGTTTATGTTCACAGATGGAACCTTGGCATTGTAATTAGTCAGAATTGCGTTGTTAGCCAGCGCTGTTGTCAGATCAAAAGATAGGGAAGGTCAGTTGGAATTTTTTCACACTAATAACTCCAAATATGCGATTTTGTTAGTTGGAACCCTGTCATTCTAACCTAACGATCTGTTATACTTATTATATTTATGAATATTTGTACTGGTTCTATATGTTTGTTATAGATACGAATATTAATGTCAACATTTGGTGCACGTGTAACAGCCATTACTTTTGTTTTATTTGTGTTTATATTTAGTCCCAAGCTATCTCCCTCTCTGGTTATGAAATTCAAAAGTCGTTGTAACCCCTCAGCAATGTCCGCAATAATGACGGTGTCTTCTGCGTATCTTAAGTTGTTTACGTATTCTCTGTTGATTTTTATTCCTTCTTCAATATTTTCGAGGGCATTTTGAAAGATTTTTTCGGAATATATATTAAATAACAGTGGAGAAAGTACACAGACCTGACGAACTCCTCTTTTTATTGGCAATTCTGCTGTCAGACGATTGTCAATTTTGATCGACGCCATTTGATCCCAATATAGTTTTTTAATAAGTGCTACAGTGTTATGGTCTATACCGTGTTGTGTTAGGGTTTCTATGAGTTCTATGTGTTTTACTCTATCAAACGCTTTTTCGTAGTCGATAAAACAGAGAAACGCGTCTTTTCGCTGATCTCGGCATTTTTGTAATAATATCTGGAGGCCAAATAATGCCTCCCTTGTACCAAGCCCTAGTATACTAAATCCAAATTGATTGTCGCTTAGGTTTCTTTCGCATTCTCTGTATATTCGTTGATGTACAATTTTAAGTAAAATTTTCAGAAAATGGCTCATCAGGCTAATTAATCTGAACTGTGAGCATCTATTTGCTTTATTTTTCTTGGGTATATTGTTTCTTGGGCAGTTTGCAGCAATTGTAGATGTTTATGTGTATGTGAGTTGACAATCGTATAAACTTTAAGCTGCTGGAATACAACATTTATTCACATTAAAAGATAAGCCTAGCAATTTATTATTATTTAGAGGTAATTTATATTGAAATTTCATAGCTGTTTAAACTTTTTCCGTCCAGCCCAGTCCGTTTTCTTTCAAGCTTAATAACTATCTTAAAATATAACCTTAGTTATCATTGTAGACCATGCTTTAATTCATTCTCCATATTTAAGGTTAGTTGTTTTTTTGTTTGTTGTTCTTTTACAGCTGTGTTGACTACGGGGTAACAAAAGCCAGTTGCTTTTGTTACCCCGTAATGAAAAACATACTACATGAAAGTAAAAATCATAAAGTTACAGCAATTTTCTTTGTTTCAGACCACAATACCTATGCCACGAACTTATCACCGGCCCCTTGGGGCTCGAAAGTATAAGGACTATTCGGATGAAAAGCTCGCTTCAGCGGTAAAAGCAGTGAAGGATGATGGACTTTCTTTGAGGAGTTGCTGAACAGTATGGAATTTCACGATGTGCTCTTACAACAGCAGTGAAAGGGAAACGCAATAAGGTAAGAAGACCTTGTATTTTAAGTCCTGTTGAAGAAAACCAGCTGGTAGAATGTGTAACATTGGCTGGAAAATGGGGATTCCCGCTAACAACCTTTGATATTCGACTGATTGTGAAAGGATTTCTAGATCGCCGTGGCCGAACAGAAAAAGGCTTAAACACAATATGCCTGGTATTCACTTTGTGGATTCATTTATGAAAAGACATGACAAAGAACTTTCTAATAGGCTTTGTCAAAATGTAAAAAGAAGTAGAGCTGCTGTCAATGAGACAATTCTCAACAATTATTTTGACGAACTCACAACCAATGACGTATAATATATAGACTCGGTGAACGCTTTAAAAAGTGTCCAAAACATGAATACCTTTGTTATTGTTTATTGTTTTGATACGAAGATGCACGAAGTTCATGATTTCTTACGAAGCATCACGAAGTTGATCTTGTGTTTGAAAACATCATGGACGTATGAAAACATTTTTTTCATTTTGTGTGACAAGCAAATTTTATTTTAAATTGTTGAGAGTTATTTACTTACTATTTTAGTAAAATGCCATACTATTTTATCAAAATAATTATTTCTCTTATAGACGGGAACAAAAAGAAATCATAAATATTTAATTTTAATTAAAAAAATAATTATTGTCATTAACATATAAATGAGCACGCCGCTGTTCTGATAAACATACCTTCAACCTTGAGCCGAGATCTTTCGGACACTCGATTCTATAGCGAGAATAGGGGACTGCGTAGTCTATATCTTATACGTCATTGCTCACAACATCACTTGAAGGAGTTGAACCAAGTATGATAGTTAACTATGACGAGACGAATATAACTGATGATCCGGGTAGAAAGAAAGTTATAGTAAGAAGAGGTACACGTCATCCTGAGCGAATCGTTGATTCTTCCAAGGCAAGTACATCTGTCATGTTTTCAGGGAGTGCAGATGGAAGATTACTTCCACCATACATAACGTACAAGACACTAAATCTTTACGACTCATGGACTGAGAATGGTCCTAAGGGAGCAGTTTATAATAGGTCAAAGAGTGGATGGTTCACGCTAGAAATTTTTGAAGACTGGTTCAGAAAAATAGTTATTCCATACTTCAAGAAGTTTGACAAAGATGCTGTTAAGGTAATAATAGGGGACAACCTAGCAAGCCACATCTCACTAGAAGTTTGTGCTTCTGCCAGCGAACAGTACCCATTTTACTCAGCCTCTTGATGTATCTTTTTTTAGGCCACTGAAAATAAAGTGGCGCCAAATATTAAGTGACTGGAAAGAGAAGAATCGTGGTACAATACCTAAGGATACCTTCCCAAGGCTATTGAAGAAGTGTATTGATGACATGGGTGAAGAGAACATAGCAAAAAACTTGATAAGTGGTTTTAAAGGTTCAGGAATTTCACCTCTTGACAGGGAGCAAGTACTTAAGAGGCTTCCTAGTAGATCTAAGGAGAACGAAAGAGAAACCCTAAATGAATATGGAAACACTTGGGCTGCAACTTTACAATCCTTCCTTAAAAAAAAACAGAGTTGAAGATACTACACAATCAGCCAAAGAAAGAAAAAAAAATTAAATGTACCACCTGGTGTAGGTGTACAGCCGGATGATATGAAGGACTCTATTGATAACCCTGCAGAGCAACAGCCAAGTACTTCAAAGCAAGCTCAAGAGAAAACCCGTGTTTCAAAAAGAGCCAGAAAGGACAGTTCTGATTCTAGTGACAATGATGAAGTATTCTCACTGCAAGCTTCAGATGCTGAACTTGTTTTAAGGGACTTCACTGATGACAATTTTGAGGAACCCGAACCTAAGAACGTCTATAAGAAAGCCACGAGGACCACAGTGAAATGGGAGGAGATTACTGGCAAATCAGCTATATTTGTAATTGTTGAACTGCTATTTGATGAGGGAACCAAAAAAGAAGCTGTAAAGCAGTTTTATGCAAAAGTGTTAAATACATCACCAGAAACAAATGAAGTGTCAGTTAGTTTTTTAAGAAAAAGTACGAAAACTGCTCCGACTGTTTTTGTATTTCCTTACAATGCTGATGAAATGGGTAAATATATCACAAATTGTTAAAGTTGTTCACCCTACAAATGTAAAGCGTGGGCACTACACTTTTTTGTATGAGTTAAATTGATTATTTAATCTTCAAAAACCTTAAAACATATAAAAATGTTAGTAAATACAGTTTTTTCCAATTAAATTCATTTTTTTAAACATAAGTATTGTTTATTTTAGCCCTGTGTACGGATTTAGTTACCCCAGGAGTGTTTAACTTACGCCACACATTTATCTATCATGCCTGGTTTTTCATACCCCGTTCTAAGGGGAAACTTAGGCCACCATGTTTTAAATTTTTTTGAGAGCTAAAAAATTTTTTAACTCTTTTTTTGGTATTAAACAATAAGTTTAGATACAGACCCACGTTTTTACCAAGTTTTAAATCCCTAAAGTGATTGGTCTAGATTTGAAAGGTGTTTGAATGTCAAAAGTGGCCTAAGTAACCCCGTTTTACGGTATCAAAAGTGAAAAAAAAAGTTTGGAAAAACGACGGAAAAGCGTGAATTATCGAAAAAGCATAAAAAATCGCTGAAAAAGAGACTTTAAACGGCGAGAAAACATTATGAATGTGAAGAAACACCATCTAAAACGACTGATAAAATACCGGGAACGCATCAAAACTGTCTAAAATACTAAATAGATTTAAAAAAACATAAAAAAATTAAAAAGTGTTAGAAAACCAACAAAAAATTGAAAAAACGACGAGAAAAAAGTGAAAACTATCGAAAAAGCATTGGAAATATTCTGTCCAGTTAATGAGCGTAAGGTCAAAGGTCAAAATTCGCCAAATTGTCTTAATATCTATTTACGGAGCGATATATCCACAAAGCCCAGCAACTTCTGGGTTGCTACAAATCTAACTTCGATACCTATGATTACTTACATTTCTAACCGCTTCCATAGAGTCGTACATCAAAGCTTCCAGAGTGTCCTTAACCTCAAAATTCCAGAACATCTTAATAGTCTTGATATGCTGTGTCTTGCCAAACCACAACAAAAAGTAACAGGTTCTTTCTCTAACGAGAGCATCTGAATGTCGCAACAAGTCTATAAATTTGATCCGATTGACGTCTTGATTTTCAGATTGGGCCAACAACGTTCTTTCTATGACATCACTGTTTTCAGGTAGTCTACTCATCAAACGAGTTAAAATGGCGAGGATATCTGTTACGATACGGATTTTTGTTTTATCTATAAAAAATTGATTTAGCATCTCTATACGTACAAATTGGGCAAATTTATATTCTTCTACTAATAAATTTAGTAACACTTACATGTAAACGAAATAAAGAGCTTCATCAACAAATAAATCGACAAAACAACAACTGCATCACAAAATTGTATCAAAAAATCGTCGTCGAGATGAATGAGATGATCGACAAGTATAAATATGTACTCCAGCGTTTGAAAATCTTCTTCTGTCAAATCTGCACATCTCTTGTATAATTCAGCTGATAATGGCAAAGGAGAATTTATGGGAGACGCGGTATCCGAGGATGAATCGGTTCGGCATTCACGTAAAAGGAGCTTAGTGGCGTATACCAAGTTTGGAACAAGTTTTACTTCAAGGTAAACCTAAAAAATAAAGATTATGCATTTACAAACCATTGTAACGTTTAATTAACCGTTCTTTTTAAACCCATAACTACCTGTAGTTAAAAATGTTTTGAGAATCGTATAAAAAACAGATATACAGGGTTGCATCTTTACTATGTCTAATTAAATTCAGTGAATCAGTCAATGAATCAAAAATTCTAAAAATTTTGCACTCATTCAAGGCTGATTGACTATCTTTAATTTAGCATAATTTTAATTGAAAATTTTGACATTTCAATTTTTATTTCAGAAATCGTTCCCAAAATACAAATTATATTAAATTTTGTTAGTTGATTATACTGTTAAATACCCCTAACTGCAGCCATGTGTTTTAGATGATCTTTTCACAGCCAAAATTATTCCACGCACCGTTCATATCCAAACGTGTATGTTCTATAACTCGGTAAGGTTCCAGAACGTCTCGCTATCCTTATATAAGCCCACTTAGGCGAACTAAGTGGGCTTATATATGTAGTAATCTGTAGTAAAATATATTCTATATGTAGTAATCTTATTGATTACTACATAAAAGATTCTTTTGAAGTTAACAATAAATTTAATAGATTACAACTACCTCAAGGTTATGTGTTAGTAAGCTTGGATGTGGTTTCCCTATTTAGTAACGTGTATCTTGAAGCTTGCATCAGATCATTAAATAAACATTGGTCAGAAATTAGTAGACATTGTACAATAGATAAAGATATGTTCATAAACTTAATCACCTTCTTATTCAATAATACCTATTTTTCTTTTGATAACACATATTACAAACAAACTTTTGGAACACCAATGGGAGCAAAAATTAGCCCCATTCTTGCTGCATATGTAATGGATGACCTGTTAGACACAATCATTCCAGTACTACCTTTTAACCTTTTCTTTTTAAAGAAATATGTAGATGACATGATCTTAGCTGTACCCAACAATATGATAGATGAACTACTATTTATATTCAATAGCTACGATCCTTACATACAATTTACCATGGAAGTCGAAGATGAAAATCAATCTATTCCTTTCTTAGACACTAAGTTAATCCGCTCCAATGATAACATCATTATAGTCGATTGGTACACAAAATCAATGAGTTCAGGCAGGTACATTAACTACATGTCCTATCATAAACACTCCACCAAATTAAACTTAGTAAAACAAATGAAAAATAGGGTTCTACAAATTTCAGATATATCATTCCATCAAAAGAATCTCAAAATACTTTATGATCTCTTTATAGATAATTCCTATCCACCTCTTCTTTTAAAAACACTTTTATATAATACTACATCAGTAACATCTATCAATCTAACTACCTCCCAACATTCTAACATAGCAAGTACAAATTCACAGAATACAGTTACCAGTCAAACCCTTCCAACATATTGTGTGCTGCCCTACATACGGGAACTAACACCAAAACTAACTAGAATCTTTAAATCATATGATAACATCAAAATAGCCAATAAAACAGTTTTAACAGTAAACTCTATTTTCTCAAAAATGAAAGATCGTACTCCGCATGACCAAATATCAAATGTTGTTTACAGTATTCCTTGTATGGACTGCAATGGCAAGTATATCGGCCAAACCTCTAGACGTCTTAAAGACCGTGTTACCACTCATAAAAGTGACTGTAGACTTTACCCAGATAGATGCACCCTAGCCAACCACGTTCACACCCAGAACCACAGAATGAATTTTGCAGATGTCAAAATCCTCGAAAAAGAAACAGCTTATAAGAGAAGACTTTTTTTAGAAATGACCCACATAGCAACAACAGAGAATATAATCAACACAAAATCAGATATACAACACCTTAGTGAAATTTATTCCTTTCTACTGCAGTTGGAAACAAAAAATAATCAAGTCAACGAACTGGAATATTCTGAATAGTATAATATTGTCTATTAAAACTCTTCTGACCATCCAATTGAAGTAGTTACTTAATCATTATTATTGCAATTGTTGCATTTTTCCAAGAAATAAAATTCTTAAGAGTAACAACAATAATTAAAATAACTTTAAAAGAAATAATCACAAAGAAATAAATAAATTCTATATATATATATATTTATTAACAACAGAATTTAATTGTCTTAAATTAACATAACATAATTTTCAATTAAATGTAACTTTATACATGAACTGAACACAGCTTTAGTTTTCTGGCTGACATCTACTAATATGATAGCTGACAAGACACTTTAACCTTGAGGTACACACTAGATATCCACCTCCTTGTGCATAGGTGAATAGACTGATCCAAAAAATGACAATGTGATATGTAGTTGTGTTTTAACTGTTTTGTTTCTTAAATGTTTAATGTTTTTTAATATTTGTATTGTACTATCACACTGGAGGAAAATAACAAAAATGCACTTGTATTGTTTGAGTTTTCAAGCCACCATATAACACAAACAACTTATTTTTTTGCTATAAAAAAATCTTCAAAAAAGTTTTTCAACATGGAACTTTCAAATACCACTTTTGCCTGCAACCTCACACAAGTAAGTGTTTCACTACATCTTATGTAAAATACACAATTTCACCATTTTGTAACATATTGTAGCATTCGTCTGAAGATGTTAAAGAAATTTAACGAAATATAGCGAAGTCGTTGAAAAGAGCACACTTTGGCTTTCATTATTCAGCTGCTAACCCAATTAACCTTACCATTATACTAATTATATATATATATATATATATATATATATATATATATATATATATATATACAATTGAACAGGTCCAACAGATATTTTCTCGTCCACTATTTGTAAGAGTTCACAATAAATCTCGTCGAGCCCTACTATTTTACCGCTTTTTGCAATTTTTATAGCTTGTTTTACCTTAACAATATAAAAGTTTTGCTTCTTCTAAGTTCATGATTATTGTACCATTTTCATTTCCTAACATGTTTGTTTCTTCTTTGAATCCAATATTTTTCTTGTACATATAAAAAAGCTGTCGTATTTAAAATCTACTTCCTTAATTTCATTGTACTTTTCAATCATTCACCTTTTCTTTGCTTCCATAATTTTTTTCCTAATGATATTACAACACTAAAATTAACAACCAGTGATAACAAAAAATGAATGAAATTATAACACTAGCAGCAGAACAACAAGGTTTTAGGTCGGGAAGATCATGCACCGACGCTATATTTATCGAGGCGAAGCAAGTGCAAGAGAAAACAAACCGGCATACCTATGTTGCGTGGAACTTAAGAAGGTATTTGACCGGGTCAAATTAAAGGACGTTATCCACTTATTGACTAAGAACTAACTAATTAAGAAGCAATTGACCCTATTCAAGCTGGCAATGGGATAAGACATATAGATTCCCAGTCCTCCATTGTATAACCTGATTATGGATGAAATAATAAAAAAGTAAGAACTAAAAAAGGATACCAAATGGGAGAAAAATAACTCAAAATAATCTGCTATGCAGACGACGCAATATAACAACAAATTTACTACGATGTAAATTGGAACTGGAAGGTCAGATAATAGAATAAGTGATGGAGTTTAAATATCTAGGCATCACATTATCTAGCTACGAAAAGCTAGAAACTAAAGCGAAAGATCAAGTTTGTAGAGCAAACAGCGCCGCAGGTTGTCTGAATAAAATAATATTAAGAAATAAAAATATCGGGAAAAAAATGAAAAGCCGAATTAACAAAACAGTCATCAAACCAATAATGACATACGCGGCAGAACAACGACCTGATACAGAGAGGACAAAAAGGATGTTAGAAACCGCAGAAATGAAAACACTTAAAAAAATTATGGTAAGACACTATGGGACAGAGCTAGGAGTACAGATATACGACGTAGATGCAAGGTGGATGACATCAAGAACTGGGTAAAAAAGAGAAGAATAGAATGGAACGATCGTATAAGTCAAATAACAACAAATAGAGTAGTAAAGACGGTTAAACAATAGGAAGACGATCAGTAGGAAGACCACGAAAACGATGGAATGACAACTGACTGGAGGCACATTGAAAAAAATAAAGAGTTATGTCTACATAAAAAAAGATTAGTCATTACCTAATGTCTTTTTATTAAGACTCCAAGACTATTAAAAGTGTATCTCTTTGTATTAAATTAAAGTGGAAATATTTACTTTTCAGGACTCACTGATGACGAACGGATAAGATGAAAACATTTTTATTTTTAAACTAATAATTTTGGATAATTTTAAAACCTAAATACACTAATAACAAAAGTTGTAACTTGCTCTTTATTTTTAAATTAACAAATGGAAAATTTTGCTTGGAACTGCTGGATATGCTGCTAATAACAAAAAAAGATATCCTAAATCATAAAAAAATAAAATTTCAATCTTACCTTTCTAATCTGCAATAAACAATCTGTAGATATTCCCTTTACAACGAAAGGTATAGACAACAGTCTCGCCACGAAGCTCAACACTTTTGGACTGGCATTCGGATTTCGTAATGGCGACACTAGAACGTTAGTCTGCGTAGACTGGGTTAGCGATATCATTTCGCCGTTCATCACCTCCTGTATCGCTCGCGTTAAAAAAACTATCCATTCTTCGGTTTCTATCGGTTGGTTGTCTTCAATAAAATTGAATGTTTTCAATGGACCTAAAATGACACGAAGGTGTTAACTTTTTTGACATTTATATCGGTCCTTCCATTTAGTATTTCTTTATGTACCTATGAGCATCCCAATTGTTTTTTTTTAAATCATGAATGTGTTGCTTATGTGAGTTGTGATGTCCTCTCGTAGGAGTCACTATCCGGGTAGCTTTTAGACAGTCAGAGACAGAGTTCAAAACAAAAATAAAACTTTATTGTCTTCCTTAAATTAAATTGACAAAAATCCTATGTACATATTTACAATGGGCCTGCGTAGCGCAAGCGGTAGTGTGCTTGCCTCGCATGCCGGTGGTCGTGAGTTCGAATCCTACCGCCGGCAAGAACAACTAGGCATTTTTAAAAATGTCTATAGGCCCCAGGTCGACTCAGCCTGAATAAAATGAGTACCTTGGGTAAAACCAGGGGTAATAATAGGCGGTTGAAGCGTAGCACTGGCCATGTTACCTTCCTTGTATACCGTAGGCCCTAGATATAGCAGACTACCCTGCTATACTCCCAAAGCCGCGTGCGGTATAAAACGGGAGACTATTATTATTACATATTTACAATTTGGTTTGGTCTTCTCAGTACCTGGCCTATTTATTCAAATTAAGTTTGACCTTGTCATATGAAATTAGTTTTATCGACAAGTGAATGTGTATTTGAAATTTTACGGGAACGTTGTATCGATTTAATAACAGCGGACGATAGGTACAAAGAAAGGAAAGGAACTAAACACGTCCCTTAAGTGATTCGGGTTAACAGGACACTCCTCGACAGTCTCAACACGACTGCTTCAGAGTATGGGTAGTGAAGAGCTCAACACGCTCTTCGGGTAACGGCGGTATGGAACGGAACAACTTGTGAACTCAACACGTCCACAAGCCGGGGTAGGGAAGAAGAGAACCTTCAGTCAACACCTGTCGATTCTCCTCTATGAGGAAATGTTGCGGTTTATATAGCGGAGCTTGGTAATTAGTTTTGCCCTTTCTACTGTCGATATACTCCTACTTCATGGGTTGGTTCGCGCGCACGCTGGTTTAACGGTGATGGCTTGGACTCATCGTTACAGAGTCCATTTTAAAAAGATAAAAAAGAAATAATTAGACTTACTCACAATCAATTTAATTTTACTACCTCAAACGACCGGTTTCGCTTTCCAAAATTTGCAAAGCATCATCAGATCGGTGGTACAAAGTAAATTAAAATTGTACCAGAATCATTTAATTTACTTTGTACCACCGACCTGATGATGCTCTGCAAATTTTAGAAAGCGAAACCGGTCGTCTGAGGTAGTAAAATTAAATTGATTGTGAGTAAGTCTAATTATTTCTTTTTTACCTTGTTTTTTTTTTATTCAAATATTTAAAAACAGTGAAGACCAATTTTTTAGTGAACTTTATATCTTTCGCGTGTTCTCTACCTCCCTACACGACCTCGCCCATTATCTACAATGACTGAGCAACGGTGCGTTCGAGATTTAAAGGGTATCAGTGTCTTGAACCTACTTTCTAATACAGTTAAACCTCTTTAAAAGTGGAATCTCGAAAAGTTAAAAACGTCAAAACTCTAATGAACGTTTTGTCCCGTTCCCTTTAAGTCCCAAAGCCTCCATTACTCGAAATTTCAACCATCTATTAGTCGAAATAATCAGTGAGTCCTTGCAAGCCATTGTGGTACATATTTTCCCTCCATTACTCGAAAAATTAAATTGGGCCTCTGTATCTCGAACATGGCAAAATTTTATTTTACAACCTTATGGGTATCGTTATATCGTAGGGCCTATTTATAAGCCCTTCAGATACTTAGAATTTTACAACCTTTACAACTCGATTATTTGAGAGTTATTGCTCTATAGTTCGAAGAAAAATAAGTTACTAACTTTAATAATTTGTCTATAATGTAAATACACCACTGTTTCTTAGAAAACAATTTAGTTTTATACAATAAATAGGATTACCACTTAAGAATTTATTACCCACGTTAACACGCGCTTGCTTGATGTCAAGCAGCAGTTTAATTTTATTATTTTTTATTTCATTTGAACTTTAGCGATTGAAAAAATGTCAGAAGTAGTTTGGTTCTACCGCAATACACATCAATTTGTACAGCACTTTACCTCAAAACTGTGAAGATCTGTCAAAAGAATAAAGATTTTTTGGTGAAACTAATGTGTGTGTGTAGTTTTATATTCTCTAATAACTTTAAACACAGAACTATCCGATACTCCAACTTTATCAGCTACTCTTTTCTCAACAGCGGACAATATTAACGCCGGATTTTTTTGTAACTCGTGCTTATACACGTTTACAATTATTTCTTTACGTCTACGCTTAAATGGCCTTTTTTCGATCTCTTTTTGGGGGGAGTTAAAGGTATGTTTACGAGTTCATCGGCAGAATCCGTGTCCGACATATTAATTTGTTTTCGTGACTGTATATACAAACCCGCAAAGTATTATTTACAGAGTAATATTCTAATAAAATAATAGATAGATAATAGATAATTGAACAGATATATTAAAAAGGTCAATACTCACAATCTATATTTTAATATATCTGTTCAATTATGGACACACACTTGCAACCCTTTTATCATCATTCAGCATAATAGATAATTATTATAATAGAGTCAAAATAATATTAAATTTACTTACTTCAGTTGATAAAAAACAACAAACACCTAAAAAATTTTCAAAGTTCTAAGTTTATTTAAATAACACTATAATTATAAACCAACGCTATAATTATACCAACAACACATTAAAAGTAAAAATTATATTTATATAATTAAATTCAACAGACATAAATGTGATTCGTAAGGATTACTGAATCCACATCTGTTAAAACTGCAAATTAAGCGTCTTTGTTTAGAGTTGTAGATTGTCGTTACTTGTGAGTTTCTACTTGTTACTTTTGATCCGCTTTTGTATATAATCAGTTACAGTATAAGTGATTTTGTAACAAGTAGATACCTCTTCAGCATCTCTAGAAATTGTGAATGAATTGATCACGCGGTTCCTAGTGTTTATATTCTACTTTTCTGTTAGGCGAACAAACTTTAGTGTAAAAGCATATAAACTTACTTTTCTCTTGACTTTTCTGGCTTTCTCCATCAGCATTTCTTGACTTGCTGGTATTAAAATTTATATTTTGAAAACTGCTTTCCAATGAACTTCCTTTTGCATTGACATTACTTGTTGTACGACTTTTAGTTGAGTCTTCTAACAGATTATTGTTCTGTGAGTCCTGGTTCGAAGACTTTTTCAAAGCGTCTGCTGAATTTTCTTGAGAATTTTTGCTGGTTTTTGATGTAACTGGTTTAATAGCCGAACTTTGTTCGTTAGTTTTTGATGGGATTCTATAAAAAAAAACAATGTGTTAACAAGTTATTATAATCGTTTTCATCGTTCTTGGCGTGTGCATGTAAAAACACTTGCAATAAGTTGTTTCATCTGTCTTTCCTTGTCTAAGCTCGATTCTTTTACCTCCTACAGTGGCGGAGCAAAATGTAGCATGTCAAACGAAATAATAGTTATAAAAAAAAATTATAAATTATTTTTCATTAAATTTCTAATAACGAAATATACGTATAAATTGCGAAGAAGTATTTTTCTAGCTTGCAGTACAATAGGACAGGATATAACGAAAAGTACATTTTAAAAGGATTTTGAAATATACTCAAAAAAGTGTTAATTATTTAACCCACTTTAATTAAAAAAGGATACAGATTTTTTAAGTTTTAAGCACTATAGCGAATTCTGAACTGTTACAACGTACTGACCTTGATTAATTAGCTAATCAGTCAGCGTCTTCACTGGAACTGTCTTCATCATTGGAATCTTCAGCCAAATCGATGATAATCCTACTTTCATTTTCATCATATGTGACCATTTTTGCCCAGTCGTCCTGAATTAATTTTTCAGTATGGTTAACACAACTCGCCCACACTGCAGGTGTTGCCTCAGCTAATGCATCGCCCCAAACTTTTTTCACTGTTTCATCTCCACGTCCATGTTCTCCAATATGACGATCATAGTATTGTTTAGAAATGCCCCAGACCAACTCAATCGGATTATATTGACAGTGATACGGAGGCAATCTCAAAACCTGATGCTCATGTTCTTGGAGTAGCTCGTCTATAACGTACCTGATATTTTGTGGTTTATTCTGGCGACAAAGACTCAATAGATCTGTCTTGCCCGAATCGTCGTCAAAAATTATTTTTTTTTCGCTCGTAACCATTCTTGTAAGTCCGATTTTTTCCAACTGGCATTCGGTAACTTTTCTATTAAAGAGCTATGGTATGAGGCATTATCCATAATAATTAGAGACGGTTCCTCCAACATTGGTATCAGCTTTTCGGAGACCAACTTTTTAAAAGACTCTTTATCCATAGAATCATGAGGGTCTGCACTCTTCGATTTCGTAGAAAACAGTAATCCAGCATCTTTAACAAATCCTTGCCTACTTCCGGCATGTAAAACAAAAAAGCGTTTACCTGTATTTTCGTGTCCTTTTCTGATGCTTTCCACAGTCATCTTGCCAAGTACGTTTATATTCCCCCTTTAGGAATATCCATGTTTCATCTAAAAAAAAAACGAACTGAAGTGGGCTTTGACTTAAAAAATTTCTCATATAATGCCTCAAAAAATACAGTCGTTTGGAGACAATACATGGTTTCTCACATAGCACTCGTCTACTATTTTCTAGTTTGTATGAAAAACCACAATTTTTCATAAGACGCCACAAACTTGTATCAGAACCGTCATAGAGATGTTTGTTTTTTAATTGTGTATTTAGAAGTTTAACTGCAATGTGTTCTCCTTTTGCTCTCATGCCATACAGTACATTTCTAATCTCTCCTTTTATAGTATCGCTGACATCATTAGTCTTTTTTTTTGTACATTACGTGACTCTCCTGGTGTAGTAAGAGCTGCCCCTGTCTTGTATCCACTCTTTATTCTTGTCACTGTGCGAAGACTGATTTTCAAAGCGTCCGCTACTCGTTCATGTACCGATGATAACGAAAGCAAAGATCCGTTGTTTTCTTTTTCTTTTTTAAAATACTCCAATAAATGAACTACACATTGTCGCATTTCTCCTGTTATCGTTTTTCCCGGCATTTTTTTTTATTAAATAGAACAATTAGTTATTCACAACAAAAAATAATAAGTAAAACTGTTCGGAACAAATTCCAACAATGACTAAAATCGACTAAAACAACATAAAATATCAATGGTAATTGCTACAATTATCAATATCGATATCAATATCAATATCAATTATAAACCTATTAGCCAGCTCATTCAAGAACAATGTCACAAGTCATTATTGCAATGGGTATCGGAAGAGAGAGAGTTAATTTATAATAAACTGGTTTTTAAGGTGTCGAGAGTATTATTTTATGTAATGGAATTCCACACAGTACGAGCTCAAACTATTAATTAATTAAAAACTGTTTACTTATAAAAACTATTTCATCATCTACTTCAAACCTGCACAGATCAGGGTAACATGTTAAAAAAACACGTCATAGCCAGCTATCTGTATTCGTAAAGAGGCCGAACTTATCACCGACACCGTATCGGCCAAACGCATCGGTGTTATTGCTACAATACTGGGAGACGTGAGTGGTCTCTTCATTCCCTTCTCATCGCACTTTACCATGACGAACGTGACTGGCACAATTGAATTACGCATCTGTGTATCAGAGAGAGACGAATATTAAAAATTCCGTAATAGCTTATTTCAGGCACACGCCAAGAACGATGAAAACGAGTATATCAGTGAACACTTTTTGGAAACTTGAATTATATAGCAAAGTAGACCTTGGCAGTTTAATAAAGAACATACCTGGTAGCTTTATTCTTCATACTTTCCCTGCGTTGCTGTTCTTTGGCATGCAAAACACTTGGAGAAAGAGGTACTGTTAGAGATTCAGGTGATGTATTTTCAGTGATGTTAATGTGATTCTTTACAAAAGGATGATCTAAAATTTCGTCCCATTTCAGTCTTTTTGAAGGATTTTTTTGTAGCAATCCCTGTGTCAAATATAAGTACATTTAAATTAATATAAGAAATAGTATAAAAATTAAAAATTAAATAATGGAAATATTTTTACTTTTAGGAAAGAGATACAGCTGTCTGACAAAAATGTTGGCCATTGAATTTGTTCATGCCTAATAAGCCTTATCAGGTGTAGAATTGATGGGGTGCAAAATGGTGGAGTGCCCATCAGAAGTTCATAAATAATGCATCCCAATGACCACAAATCTGCTGTATAATCATATGGTTGTTCGTCTATCAGTTCAGGGGCCATATATAACGGTGTACCTAAAAAAATTTTTGTAATGTATAGGCACAAAGTCATAATAAAAATGATAAAAACAAAATCATGATATTACGATATCTTTAATCACATCAAATAAAAATAATAATAATTTATTAGTTCAAAATAACGAAATACTAATTTTTTATCATCTCTGGTGGAAAATGAACTATTAAACCATGATATAAGAATACGATATATCCAGTTTAAAATTATATATTAGAATATTAAAAATACTCATAATAATGTCAAAGAACAAGATTTTATGTACAAGAAATCTTAACTTAGGATCAAGTCAACCATTATTGATATTAAAAAATCACTAAAATTTAAATTGTATTTTCTTAAAATATTTTCTCCTCTCCTCCAAAAGAGTTCCTCAATAATCTTTCACCATTGTTATTAAGTCTTGTCTTAGAATATACAAGTGGCAGGGCAATTTCAGTAAACATTTGATTAAATAAAAGAAATTAATGGTTGAATAAATAGAAAATTCTTCTTAATCCCAAAAAACTGAATATATTTTATTTAAGCAGTCCCTATCGTTCTTAATATTTGGCTAAATATATTAAAAATCAACGCCTTAGATCTATCAGTGCAATTAAATCATTAGTACTACATTTGATGCAAAAATAAATTTAAAATTTACCAACAAAATCAGTGAAAGGTACAACAATATTACAAAAAAATAAGTCATTCCAATCTTTTCCACAATTTACCCAACCAAGTATCGGCTCTAACCAAAACTTTATATTAACAATGTCAAATCATAAATGTCACATCACTTAGCAAGGTGACTATGCAAATACTGACCCCTTTAAATAAGCAGTTCCATGACCTTAAATTAGAACTTTTTTTAAAGGCTTTGAATCAGAAGTTCTTAATCAGATACATAATAGAACAGCAGATGCAACATAGGCCTATAAATCATTATTCAAATTATTTCATCTAGAAAACAAAATATAGGAGTGCTAACATGAAATGTTGAAAGCAGAAGAACAAAGCCAACTATAATAAACTTTTAGCTTTTTCTGTACTTGCTCAGCAATTCTGGATGTTAATTTTTACATATCCAATTTTTAATTTTATTTGTTTTATATATGTACATATATAATTAACATTCTAAAGACTTATTAGAATGGGCTGAAGGACCTCCATCAATTACCTTTTGAGTCATTAGTCAATAAAAAATATGGTTGGTTACCTTATGTGTAGTAAAACAGGAATCTTTTGTTCAAGATCTCCAAGAAACACTACTCCTTACTGGTTATGCAATGATACCAAATATTAAACAACACTATATATACCATTTTTCAAAGTAAAACACTTGCACGTCACGATTTATACAAAGTGTATTTAAAATTTCCAGAACATCAACCTTAGAGTTCAAATTTTCCTAACACAGCTAATAATACGAAACCCATACGGAACTGCTGGATCTTTCATAGGCGTCAACATGGAGTAATAATCAGAAAAATGTAATCATAATTATATTGGAAGTTTTAGAATTATATTGATTAAATAACAAAAACATTTGTTATTATTAATAATATATAATGTAACAATAAAACACTGAAAACTTTGTTTTCAAACTTCCACAAAATTTATTTTAAATATTATCACTACAGCTGTTTCGGCTGATTGCCTTTCTCAAGTGATCTATTTTGGCTTGGGTTTACAAATTTATAGTCTCTAATGAAATAGGTTGAGGAGGGGAGAACTGTTTGTCTCAAGTTGGTCATTCAGAATTATATCTGTGTTTTTTAATTTTTTGATTTCCATAGATTCTAACAAAGATAGCTTAAGGCCTTTATTTTGAATGTGAAGAATTTTAAATTTGTCATTAAAAGAATGATTATGATCTAGAAGGTGAAGTGCGTATGTCGAATCTGTTTTTCTATTCTTGAAAGCCCTTTTATGTTCTGCTATTCGTTTATCAAAGTTTCTACCAGTTTGACCGATGTAAGTTTTTGGGCAGTCGCCACATTGGAGTTTGTATACACCACTATTTAAGTGTTTTTTATTTTGGCTCTTGTTATTTTTAATATATTTGCCTAGGTTGTTATTTGTTCGGAAAGCTGGTGTTATTCCTTTTTTTTTTTATGTGTTTGGCAATTTTTTTTGTTATTTTGCCTGTATATGTAATCGAGCAGAAGGTACTGGGTTTTTTCTCTGGTGGTGGAAATACTAATTTCAGGGCTTTCTTGTGTAGTTTTTGATTTAACATTTTATTAATTGTTTGTTCGTTGTATCCGTTGTTTACTGCTATTTGTTTAATTATATTTAATTCTGTCTCAAAGTTGTCTTTTGACATCGGAATTTCTGTTAATCTATGTAACATACTATGATAAGCTGCCAGTTTATGTTGTGTTGGATGGGATGACGAATTGTGTATAGTCGTGTCAGTATGGGTAGGTTTATGAAATATGGAGAAGTCATGTTTGTTTTGAAGTCTGCTAATTTTTAAATCTAAAAAATTTATGGATTAATAAAACCTACCCATACTGACACGACTATACACAATTCGTCATCCCATCCAACACAACATAAACTGGCAGCTTATCATAGTATGTTACATAGATTAACAGAAATTCCGATGTCAAAAGACAACTTTGAGACAGAATTAAATATAATTAAACAAATAGCAGTAAACAACGGATACAACGAACAAACAATTAATAAAATGTTAAATCAAAAACTACACAAGAAAGCCCTGAAATTAGTATTTCCACCACCAGAGAAAAAACCCAGTACCTTCTGCTCGATTACATATACAGGCAAAATAACAACAAAAATTGCCAAACACATAAAAAAGAAAGGAATAACACCAGCTTTCCGAACAAATAACAACCTAGGCAAATATATTAAAAATAACAAGAGCCAAAATAAAAAACACTTAAATAGTGGTGTATACAAACTCCAATGTGGCGACTGCCCAAAAACTTACATCGGTCAAACTGGTAGAAACTTTGATAAACGAATAGCAGAACATAAAAGGGCTTTCAAGAATAGAAAAACAGATTCGACATACGCACTTCACCTTCTAGATCATAATCATTCTTTTAATGACAAATTTAAAATTCTTCACATTCAAAATAAAGGCCTTAAGCTATCTTTGTTAGAATCTATGGAAATCAACAAATTAAAAAACACAGATATAATTCTGAATGACCAACTTGAGACAAACAGTTCTCCCCTCCTCAACCTATTTCATTAGAGACTATAAATTTGTAAACCCAAGCCAAAATAGATCACTTGAGAAAGGCAATCAGCCGAAACAGCTGTAGTGATAATATTTAAAATAAATTTTGTGGAAGTTTGAAAACAAAGTTTTCAGTGTTTTATTGTTACATAAAATGAATTTCCATCAAGTAACGGTCGAATCCATCAATAATATATAAATTTGATTAAATAATAAGACTAATAAGTCTAATATTCCACAAAATAATAATTTTAATTAAATATATTAGACAATTGTACGCAACTGATATGGAAATACTTACAACAATAAATACAAATTTTATTGACAGCAAATTTTATTGACAGCGTGTGTTGCCGGTTTTTTAGAGTAGGAATTATGTTTATGTTTTGATTTCTTACACAATTTGATCATAATATAGTATATATTAATAAATTGTATATATAAATACATATTAAATTTAGATTAATAGCTTTAAAAACTAATTATTGTTGTGTATTGTGATTGTGATATAGCAGTGATATAAAACAAATAAATAGTCTGTAGAAAGCTGATAAGCTTTCGTATAAGATAGATTACTTTGAACAAGAAATAATGGCGGTGCGTTTTTAAAAGTAAAGGCCTAAAAGAGGTAAGTTTAAAATTTAGAATATATAATTTTGTATTAAAATGTTTTCTTATGTATGTTACTGTGTTGCAGTAGGCTTAAAACTAAGTGTATTTACTGTTTAAATAATGGTTTGACAAATAGTTGACATTTTAAAAATTCCTTACTATCTATTCTGATGTTTTGGCAACGCTGTGGGGTTCTGACGACGTAAATGTTGAATGACATGCAAGCTTTTTTACATGAAAAATGCCATATAATATATTGTATTGATGCTCGATTTATAAAGTAATAAAAATCTTTTAGAAATTAAATATGCCGGCATTTGTTTTAAAATTAAAATATAAATATGGATATAAACTACAGTGGAAAGTAGATTATAGTGATTAAACTGGTTTCAAGAACTGTTAATGCTCAATAGATTTGAAAGGACAAAAATAGTTAAAAGAATTTTACAAAACAATCAACATTGAAAATAAAAATGAGGTCTCAGGTTTTTCCTAATATTAAAATTTATTTGTAAGCGGTTCTAACTGTAAATAAGTAGGAAAGATTAGAGTATTAGTAAGAAGTACTTGCAAAAATTGTTTAGAATACGAATGTTGCGTAAATTGTTTCCTAGGTAGCTGAGACAATAGATTTCGATTTTGGATGACATAGATTTTGTGTCATCAAGGAATTTGTAAATATTTTGTTTGTATAATAGGACAAAATGAGGAGACAGAAAAATAGGATTGGCCAAAGGAAGGATGGACCAAGATATGTGATATATGCTATGGACTAGACTCAGATGTGATCTTATTCCAGCCTACTGAAGGCTAAAGAGGTGTCAAACTGGATCAGGGTATTGGGCAATTAAATTTTATAACAAATTGACTGAGAACATAAAGAATCTTAAAGAAATTAACGAAATTTTAATAAAAAATGTATTTTATAGTAGTGAGAAATATCTTAAATTTCAATTTTAAACTATTTTAACTCAATGTGATATGTATTTTTATGTAATTAGAATTTAAGATTTTTTAATAGAACTATTGTTCTGCTTTTATTTTGACATATGTTAGGCTACTGGCAAAATTACGTCAATAAATGAATGCTTTTGGTTTCTTAATCAAATTGTAAAAGAAAAATAAATATTGTTGTTGTTTGCCAGTGATAGAAAGTGGGTAGTGAAGAAAATGTTTGTTAAGTTTTGTGATAGCAGCCAAGCAGTACAAGCTAGAGATCTTGAAAGCTTACTGTCATATCAGTAGGTTATGATTACGGTCACGGGGCTCTAGGCACAATGTATGGAGACTCGTTGTCAGTTGTCACTACTTGTGAGGATTGTTACAATTGTTAGATCATAGGTTTTTGGACATTGTTGATTCCTAGAGACTTTGTTAATAAGTATGTTTAAATAAATATATTAACTGCAATGAAATATTATTACTCTTACAATTGTAAGTTTCTTTAAATACAAATTATTTTAGAATAGGCTGTCTATGTCTTACTTGAGAGGAACCCAGATTCAGAGTGTTAGGAGCAGCAGCAGATTGCCAATTTTAATTTTGATAATAAATAATTTCTTTGGGCAAAGATCAACTGAAAAGGATAATCACAAAAATTATCCAAAGGAGGAAAATCCCTGAACCAGGAGGAGTTGGAGCCTAAGAGGAAGCAGTTTTAAATTATAAATAATTTTTTTTTTCAAAAGACATTCACAGTGAGTTTGGGGTGGATTAAAAATATTTTATCGATTATTGAATAGAAACGGATATTTCATTCATTTCTAAAACTGGAGAGCATGTTAGGAACATCTAGTCTGTGTGTTGTAGATGTTAAAAATTTATGGTATATTCGGTTCGCTATTTTCAGTCCGAACTGTCTAGTGAATTTAGTAATTATTTTTTTGCGAAGTTAGTTACTTTTTGACAGACTAAAAGTGGCTAGAAATTACTACAAAACCAAGCACACTTACTCATACTCATAGCCAATATTAATAGTAAACTAACTAAATAGTAAATAAAATAGAACTTTGCAAATTACTGACAATCAATGTTTATTTATCTGCATATAATAAATAGTTATGTTAAATTATAACAACTAAAATATATTTTTGAAATATATACTACCCAAAATTTGATGGGTTTAGTATACACTTCCACTATTTAGAATAATTCTTTTTTTTTCAAAGAAAGAAGTCTGCAATAGTAGTATACTTGAGCTATTAATACTGAGAAGTAGGAATTGTTGTATTGTAGGTTTCCGACAATGAATCTGTCAAAATGTGCCTGAGCTAAGCGAATGGAGTATATAACATTTTTCTGTTAGAAAATTATATGTTTTTATATAAGTAGCAGGTATATTAATCTTATGTGGATACATTATATTGATGAATTTTACATTTGATATTTTTGTGTGTAATTATTATTCTTTTTGGTCCTCATATTTTCAAATACAAAAATAATGATACTGAACCACCAAAGTACAACCTGAGACAAATCAAGTTATGGACAAGGTCAATGATTTAAAGCATTATAATTTAAAATTCCTATTTTTGCTTACCATGACAATATTTAAAAGTAGGTATATTTTGTGGCTGGTTCAAAATGCATAAAACTTGTACTTATTTTTCAAAACTATATTCTAAGCAGATTATTTATAAACAAATTCAGTGAATTACCTTTAATAGATGTTAAAACATGTGTACCAGTGCTCATATTTCTTGCAAATCCAAAATCACATAGTTTAGCTGTGTTGTTCATATCAAGAAGAATGTTTTGAGGTTTTAGATCCCTAAAAAACAATATTGGAGTAATATAGGAAAGTAGTGTGTTTGAAATATGTATCTCTACTTTTTTTTCAAGATATATTCATTTTTAATTTTATATAATTTATACAAAAGTATACTTTTGCCTTTTGTTAACAAAAACATAATACTATTAACTTACCTATGAAGAACTCTATTAGAATGAAGATAGTACAAAGCAGAAACCAAATCCCATACAATTTTCTGCACCTTATCTTCAGGTAGATAACCCACTCTTCCTAAGATGGCTGTGAGTTCTTTATGAGCAAACTCTGTAATGACTACAATCTAAAGAAAAAAGCATATATATAGTTTTATTTAAAAAAAAAACGGGATATCGAATACCTCATTTTCTGTTTCAAAGGAGTCTAGCATTTGAATAATATTAGGATGGTGCAAATCCCTTTGGATTTCACATTCTCTTCTGAAGCCCTTTAATTCTCTAGCAGATCTTCCTCGCTAAAAGTAGAGAAATATGTTTCCAAAACAAACAAAACTTTATGCAGGGTCCAGACCAAGCAGACAAAACGAAAACACAATTCTGAAACAAAAACACGATAAACCAGCAACAAAATTTGTTGTCAAAAGACTAAACAAAATTGAGACAAACTGTCCACATCAGAACAACAAAATATAAAAACAAAATTCAGTTGGTGACGTTGTTGTTGTGATTAGTGTTGGTTAACCATGTGGCGTTTTAATCAAGAACAAAATGAAACTGAAGATTTATTGCTAGCCACAAGTTGTTTTTTTTTGCTCTCATCATCATCCCAGGTTGCTAAAAGAAAACCCAAACGTTTTTGGATTAGACTAAGCCTAAAAATGTAAGAAAGTTGTTCGATAGAAAAATTGTTCGTTCAGCTGCGCGCAGATGTTATTGGACTAAGTGGTGAAATTCGATCAAGTTTCAAAAATTTTTTAAGAATGTCCACCGAAGATTTTGAGAATCTGATATGCCTTGTTGGTCCTGCAGTTGCAAAAAGACATACTAACTTTAGAAATGCTATAAGTGTAACAGAAAGGTTAGCAATCACTTTAAGATTTTTAGCAACCAGTGATTCCTACCACAGCCTAAAGTATCAAAACAATCAATATCTGTAATAATACCTGAAGTATGTAAAGCTTTAATTAACAGTCTTAGTGGTTATGTACAGGTATGTTAAACTTTTTTCATTACTATTCTTCTGTTAATATTCCTTAAAATAAACTCCATATTTATTGGTTAAATGTTTAATATAAAAGAAATTGACGATAGGTACATACTACATACAAAATAATGACGAGTCTACTTGTTTTTACATTGAAAAAGTTTATCATCAATTTCGTTCGTTTTCTTGATCTGAATATTGAGAAAGCTCTGTGTCAATACTAGGTGGATGTGAAAATAAAGGTTGTGTGTTGGTGTTTGGTGGATTTAAGTAAGAATTGTGTGGGTCAGCGCTAGATGGATTTGAGTATGAATGTTGCGTGATGGGTGGATTTGAGTATAAATGTTTAATGCTGGATGGATTTGAGTATAAATGTGTGTCAATGCTGGGAGGAGTCGAGTATGAAAGTGCGTCAATGAGGGGAGGATTAGAGTATGAATGTTGTGTGTGTCAGTGCTGGGTGGATTTGAGTACAAATGTTGTGGGTTGGAGTTGGATGGAGTTGAGTGAACATTTGTGTTGAGACTAAGTGGATTTGAGCACGAAGAACCAGAAAATCCTGTGGGAAACTGAATAAATTCTATCATTTGGCGTTGTACCTGGAATAGTGGTGGCTTCTTGGGTTCATTATACTTGCCCATTTCAGCTTCATATAATAGATTGTGAATTAGATGTTCTATTGTGAACTGGGCATAGGATGTGGGTAGACTCCTCAATTTTTGAGTGTGCAGCTTAACTCGTTTTGGTACGCACACGCGTCCACACTGCGCCGACAACTTGTCGTCAAATACACAGACAAAACACAGACTTTTTGATCTTTACCGACCTAAGACGGGACCTGAAAAAGTTTTCAAATTTGCAAACAAAACAAAATTGTTCAGAAATGTCTCAACCAATGTGTTCGATTTGTCGCCACTTTGTCGCGAAACATGAATGTTTTTGTTTTGTCTGTTTGGTCTGGACCCGGCATTAGAAACAATTATTTCAAATATAAATACAATATAAGAAAATCCCTCTTCTCTCAGAGGAAAATGTTGATGATTACCTTCATATTGCAATGCATACAAATATATAGGATGGTACAATACTTACTTTACTGATTACTTTTAAAGCAACAAAAGATCCAGAAGACAATTCTTTTGCTTTATAAACTCTGCCAAAGGATCCTTCCCCAAGTGTTCCAATTACTTCGTATTTGTCCATTTTTATCCTTGAATTCAAACAGTAATTTTCTTTGATTGCTGTAATTTAAAATATAAGCAAATAATGCATTAAATACAAATCACATTTCAACTAAATCATAAAGTTTTTGTTTATTTTGATTCTCTTTGTTATTCTTTAAATGACAGATGACAGGAAAGTAAATGTCATAAATCGGTTTAATCGTCGCCTTGAACTAACAAGATAGGAAATTCCCGTAGCACAAAATAGGTCATGTTCGCGCATTGGAGAGTAGAATTTGAATGCTTGTTAAAGTTAAATGGCATTTGTATGCATTCTGTGATGAAATTACTAGACGAAAATAAGTTAAGAAGTTTAGTAATTACAATAATCGCACACGTAAGAATATCTCCAAACTATTTATTAAAGATTGTTTATTGATACATACAAAAAACTGACATTTCGAACGTCAAACTCTCCAATGACGTCACGACTTATGCGCAATATCCAATATTCGCGATTAAAACTGAATGTAGAGGGCAGGTCGATTCGTCGATTGCAGTGTCATGGCGGATATAAATGGTATAAACAAACATGACAGTCGAATGTTTACCTACCATTGCTTTTCTAAGTTTAGTTTGGTTTAAGACGAGTTATTTTTATCATTGAAAAAAGGAAATTAGTCTTAATGATATCTTGGCGTATTGTGGTGAAGCAGAGCCCATTGGTTCAAGGGGAAGCAGTTTTCAAGTGATGAATTCTTAAATTTTAACTTTAATGTTTGGAACTGGCTTTTTTTAATATTATACATTTGATGTTCTTTTATTCCAACATTTAATGATCTTTATGTTTTACCTGAATAAAAATGAAGGCATTCACAAGGTAGTTTTTTTATTAATAATGGATTATTAAAACAAAATAAATCTTTTATTTACAAAATATAGTGACCAATAGAATCATTCATCAGACAACCAAATGGTTTGATTTCAGATAAATCTGGACAAAAATATATACTGGAATACATTGCTGATGTACTTGGATGATTTCTACTACAATTTTCCAACATTTCTTCCTACAACAATGTTAAATACAGTTTAAAATATTGTGATGTAAATACATACCTCTGTATATTTCTTCTTTGGATTCTGTCCATCCCAATTTGTGTCATAACAGGGTTATTGATTTTTGTAATTGCAGAACTTTGAAGTAAATTTTGGGATGGCACAGCATTTTTCTTCAGCCTTGTTCTCTTTGTTGTTACTGCAATATTTGCAAGATGTCTGACATTAGAATCAAAATATTTGTTTAATTCATAAACATGTATTTTGGGATATTATCGTTATTATTTAATTACTAACCTGACAAAATTAAGTCACTGATAAGAAAATGTAGACTGCAAACGTACATGTGTTACTTTTTTTGAATCTTTAAAGCATCAGACCATTTTTTCTTCAAGTTTAGGAAAGAGAAATAGGGACATATCTTTTGTCGATCTTGAATTGCATTGAGGACCAAAACAATATCAATTTGATTTAAAATACTTTAATGTAGTCATAATGCTGAAATTTACCAAACAAATTTAATAATTATATTCAAATCAACAGCTGTCTGTGTTTGACGTGTTTGTTTATACCATTTATAGTAGTTTAAATTTATCCCGCCAGAGGTCAGATACTTTGTTTTTAATCGCGAATATTATACGTCATTGGCAATATCCATCGAGCAAAAAGATAAAAGAGGGAATCTAATCGTTATGAAAAGGAGAGCAAAAAAGTGGCCTCTGATGGCAGGCATATCCGGAAATGCAAAGGCGCTAAATTTAAATTTTTCAACACTTGTTAACAATAGCTGTAAAATATTTTTCAGACAAGAAACTTTTAATTAAATATTAACGATAATAGTCTAAAAAGTGACACAATTGGTAAAAAACTTCAATATAAATAAAATTTCATGTGACAGTTGGGACAAACAATGACGTATAATATATAGACTACGCAGTCCCCTATTCTCGCTATAGAATCAAGTGTCCGAAAGATCTCGGCTCAAGGTTGAAGGTATGTTTATCACAACAGCGGCGTGCTCATTTATATGTTAATGACAATAATTATTTTTTTAATTAAAATTAAATATTTATGATTTCTTTTTGTTCCCGTCTATAAGAGAAATAATTATTTTGATAAAATAGTATGGCATTTTACTAAAATAGTAAGTAAATAACTATCAACAATTTAAAATAAAATTTGCTTGTCACACAAAATGGAGTACGTCCATGATGTTTTCAAACACAAGATCAACTTCGTGATGCTTCGTAAGAAATCATGAACTTCGTGCATCTTCGTATCAAAACAATAAACAATAACAAAGGTATTCATGTTTTGGACACTTTTTAAAGCGTTCACCGAGTCTATATATTATACGTCATTGGGGACAAACAATAACATAACCAAACTAAATTTGACTTATTAAACAAGGAAAGAGACTGTCTATCCTTGTTTAAAGTGGCCTCTCAAGATAGCACTTCCTGTCTAACAATATTTTTGTCCCCACTACCTTTACATTCCCTCTTTTATCTTTTTGCTCGATGGCAATATCTTATCTTCTTAGTCTTAACACAGAATAATAAACACAATAAAAATCAGAATGCCCACTCTCCATGGAAAATTAAGTACTTGCATCTCCTTCGCGCAGACGTTCCGTCATGTTTTAGAGTGAACCAGTGTTGTTTATGTGGTGTACATAAAAAAATTAGCCCGGTTTAATTGACTTACGGCAATCATAGACATACTATAAAATTATGTATATTAACATTGTTAAATATAATAACATAAATATAATTAAACATAAATAATATAAACAACTACATAACCTCACAAATCATATGTCTGTGTTTCCTTCTAAAACATGGCGCGCGTGCTGAAAACTTCAAAGGCGGCATCTGAGAGTGGACATTCTGATTGTTTATTATTCTGTGGTCTTGGTCTTAGTATCATGTGTACTACCCATCGAGCAATAAGACAAAAGAGGGAATCTAATCCTTATGAAAAGGAGACCAAAAAAGTGGCCTCTGATGGCGGACATATCCGGAAATGCGAATGCGCCAAATTTAAATTTTCCGACACTTATCAACAATAGCTATATAATATTTCGCAGAATGTGTCTTAGACGAGAAAGTTTTAATTAATTATTAATGATAAGAGTCTAAAATGCGACACAATTGTTAAAAAACTTCAATATAAATAAGATTTCATGTGACATTTGGGACAAACAATAACATAACCCAACTAAATTTGATGTCAAACAAGGAGAGAGACTCTCTTTCCTTGTTTAATGTGGCCTCTAAAGATCGCACTTCCTGTCTAACAATATGTTTGTCCCCACTACCTTTACATTCCCTCTATTGTCTTTTTGCTCGATGGTACTACCACATAATAATAAACAATCAGAATGTCCACTCTCAGATGTCGCCTTTGAAGTTTTTCAGCACGCGCGTCATGTTTTAGAAGGAAACACATAACGCAGACATATGATTTGTGAGGTTATGTAATTGTTTTTATTTATCTTTAATTATATTATTATATTTAACAATGTTAATATAATTGTATAGTATGTCTATGATTGCCGTAAGTCAATTAAACCGGGTTAATTTTTCGTACTTAATTTTCCATGGAGAGTGGACATTCTTGTAATGAAATGCAAAACCTTTATAAACTAGGTTTTAATATACAAGAAATTAGCATTGTTTTGTTTGAATGAATAACATGACAATTACATATGACATTAACTAAAACTAAGATGACAAATGACAAACACAGTTCACAGACCACAGGACATTCACCCCAACTTTATTTTTGAACAAAGTCTTTAAGGTAAGCAGGAGTGTTTCTTTCCCTGGTACCTCTTCTAATAAGACTGTGTTTATTTTCTTCCTCTAAAACACTTTCAATATGACCTTGATCTTCCAGAATGTTAACAGGAGAAATATTTGGATTTTCCTCACATATACTCAATCTAGGGCTTGGTGGATCTTTGATAAACTGTTCATTAGAAACCGCAGATTCCGATCCACTAACACAGTCCAGAGATGCATCTCCTCGTGGTGCAAGTTGTCTTAAGGCTACTGTTGTTTCTTTACCATCTTCACGTCTAACAACAGCATAGTTTGGATTTGCTTCAATTAGCTGTACTTCTTCAACGAGGGGTTCATATTTGGACTGCCTCACATTTTTTTTCATAAATACTTTTCCGGGGGTTATCAACCATGAAGGAAGTGCAGCTCCATTTATAGCTTTTCTGGAATGATGAAACATTCGCTCATGAGGGGTACTGTTTGTAGATGTACACAAAAGAGAACGAATTGAATGAAGAGCTATCTCAACTACTTCTTCCCACTGTTCAGTTTTTAAATGTTTAGATTTTAATGCAAGAGAAATAGTTTTCCATATAATTCCATTATATCTTTCTGTCTGGCCATTTCCTTCAGGATTGTAAGATGTTGTTCGGCTTGTTGGTATTCCTTGTGAATGGAGAAATGTTTTGACTTCTTGAGACATAAATGCCCCCCCTTGGTCTGAATGGATATAACTAGGCATTCCAAATAAAGAGAATAAGTTTGTAAGACACTTCACAACAGTTTTCGCTGAAACATCTTGACATGGATATACAAAGGGGAATCGAGAATATTCATCAACAATTGTTAGGATATATTTGTTATGAGATCTAGATGGAAGCGGTCCTTTAAAATCCAGAGACAATCTTTCAAAAGGCGAAGTAGCTTTAATTAATCTCCCTTGAGTTTTCAAAAACTTTGGTTTTATTTCTGCACAGATAGGACAGCGATTGGTCATTTCACGGACTTCATCAATAGTATATGGTAAGTTGCGTGTCTTTATCCAATGGACCATTCTGGTGATTCCTGGATGACACAAGGATTGATGTAGTTCAAATAGACTTGGTCGAGGATTTATTGAACAGCTCACTCGTGAGAAAGTATCTGGCACTACATTCTCAACTCCTGGTCGGTACTGAATATCGAAACTGTAGCATGATAATTCAAGGCGCCATCTGATAATCTTCTCATTTTTTATCTTACTAGTGTGGCGCATATTGAACATAAAAGAGACAGACTTTTGATCAGTTATAAGTCGAAAATGTTTACCTATCAAGAAA